TATAGTCACAGGAACGAAATCCGGTTGTCAATGGATCAGATGCTGTGGGCGAGCTAACTACATCTGCTACAACTCTACCTTTGCAGCCGAGTACACCTGTCTTCTCTGCTTCCAGCACTCTGGTTTGTTCAATCAAAAACAGTTTCCTGCAAACAAAATTTTCATACAACTGATTTCAGGTATCCACAACTTCTGTGATTGATTTGGGTAACTTGTTAACAACTGCTCCACCATCCATGTTTACTATTCCTCCACCAGCCGTCGGATCACAGACCCAAGTCCTGACTCGTTTCTTTTATCATTACCGCTCTTTCTTCTATCATCGCTGCTTTATGTTCGTATTAATTTCTAGAGAACAACCGCTTCTGCTACAAATATGCCACAACAAGCTCCCACTTCACAGGATCGCGAAAATTTGACTACTCAGCAGGGCTCTCTTTCATCTGTTGTTGCTCAACCATCACCAACTACGATCATTGCTCCACCGACATATCCTGTCGTCACACATGCGGCCAATCCACCTCCAGTAGCTGTACAGGTTTGATTTTCCTTACTTCAAGTACTACTTCCAAAGTCCATATACCTTTTGTAGAATTCTTCTTAAAACATGCACGAGTGAGTGCAGTCTCCCATTAAATTTCCTATAACACTTCTGTCTCATATGTATCAATATTCTGAACTAGAAATATCTAAGTTATTTTCAAACTGACCAATCAATAGTCTTGATGTCTTTCAGAAAAAAGGTATGGTGATAGCGCTTAGAGATTTGGTTTTCTCATTTTGTTCTCGGCTCTACTATTTGGGTGTACCGCACCTCGTTATTTAGATCCCGATAGAATATATAGCTTTAAAAGCACCCAAAATCAAACGATACATTCAATGTCTTGGAAATGATGAAGAGAAAATGAGGAGTGCACTTCACTTTTCAATGGAGAAAACTAGTCGATATTGACCACAAAAACTGTTGGGGGATGGGCGTTTACTTCAATGGTGGGTTCGTTCTGCTTGTAGATGGGAATGACTACTGTGAGCAGCGAAAACGACTCTGCGTTTTAATCGGCAGCCATACTGCGATAAGAGTCGAGGATGGGTGTATGCCAAGATGAACGATAGCTGCCAATAAGTTTGCGCTACGCACATGTGTGTCAGTTACCACCTATACACTTATCGCCACGCCCCTTTGAGGGCTAGTCGCTACGCTGCTTACCTATAAATTACTAAACATACATGTGCACCAATCAAACTTTTGATATGTTTTCGCGCAAAAATGAGGATTTGAAAACAGTAGTTTTTAAAAAAGTTCACACTTCGATAGAGTCTATTGTTGCTAGCCCTTCAAATAGACTCGTTTTGTTCTTTTTTCCCAAATTTGCATATTTTATTGTATGTCGCATACAAGACCACCCTAGCAAAGACTCGGAGGAGCTGCTCTCCATCACAAGTGCATCCGCATGCAGCGCTTGTGATGTCATTGTAGTAATGGTTCAGCAACACCCTTGTTCAATTTTTCTTTTCTTTTCTCCGGCTCATGTTTGTGCTAGTAAGAGATTAATTACGGTAACTAGTGGAATACTGAACTTTTCAAACTAGTTCGTTTTTTCTAAGTTACATGCAATTTTTATGAGCTTTCGAATTTTTACACTGTTAGTGTTGTTTTGTTTGATTTGTGTTTCCAATGATAATTGAAAACAGCATGCAACAAAACAAAGAGATTCAAAAGTTTGTAAAACGATGGTTTCTTGCTTCGTCTCGTTGTACCCTTTTTGCCGACATCTAAGGCTAAGGAGAAAAGCTTGAAAAAAACGGAAAAATAAGCAATTAGAATGTTTTAGCGAAGGCTGTTAAATTAAGGCGCCATCTAAGTCTAAGTAGCTGGTTGGCGAGCAGGCCACGCGGAAGAGTGCCACGCAGCCATTCGTGTGCAGGTGGAAGGTTGAACTTTCACTTGGCCGCCAATGGCTAAAATAGATGTTTTCCCTCGTTTTGAGGAGATTAATCTTTTTTCAATGCAGCGAGGACTTACTTCACCGACTAACTTCAATGTGAAGCGAAATTCCTTTCAAGCGAATAGTGATGACGAAGAGAAAGGAAA